TATATTAAGCCTCTATATGATAATTATCTTCTGTAACACAGACAGGTGATTCTTCTCTGAAAGCACAGTGAAAGTAAGACTATGCCTGTTTCCCACCTATATTTCCCAGGTGGAAGGGAGGAGGACAATCTGACAGGTGACATGCAGCTTCATTTACAGTGACCGGTAGGTAGGACCTATTCTACCTGCACTTTTGAGTTTGTCCCAGTCAGATCTTATATGTCTGACTTTTTCCTCATTCAGTAAACCGTTGTACTGATTCTAACACATTGCAGCATGGCCAAATACATTGCTGTAAACACAACCCGAAGGAAACTCGTATAATCTAGATGGTTTCTTCCCACCTGCAAAGCAGCAACAGGAGCAGACAGCATCTCTCACATGACCATGGCTTTCCCAGCATCAGTTACAGGTTATCTCCTGACAGCCTTTAGTATGTCAAAGTACATAGCACATCTAGCAGTGCTGAGTTGCAGCAGCTGCAACATGAGGGCATGTTGCAGAAGACTTGATCCATTACTCACATGAGCTGTGGTTCATGGTTCTCCGTCTATGCTTAATCCAAAGCACATAATATCCTTTCTAGTTTCTGTTCACACTTGCGCCAGGTAAGTTACAGGCTTCCAGTCTGATACAGTTGCTACCTGCCCTCAAACAGGAACCCCTCCAAAATATTCCCCACGGAATGTGATCAAGATTTAACAAGCCCATCCGTCTGTTCCTCCCTGGGGTTTATGGGCCTGTTATATAGTCCCACAGTTTTTCTTGATAACTGATTGACATAAGCATTCCAGACATTTCTGATTACTTACCAAAGGGATTTTCTCAGTTGGCCTCATTTAAGTGTGCCCCAACCATCAATAGCACACCTACCAGGGCAGAAAAGCTTCTGGTTTTGTTTTTGACGCATCCCAGGTATTTCCATCTTCTTATCTTAGGTCTGCTGGAAAGGGATTGCTTAACTCTGATGAATCTGACATGTGGTGCACTTTATTCTGTTTAAGCCCTAACATCCTGCTGAGGTATTTACCTTGAAACATATTTTGACATTTCTCTCCACCTTTGCAGAATTGTCAGCTATGGTAGAAATAACACAAGTTGAAAATACAGTCAGTTTTTCAAGAAGAGAATTTCCAGTGCCTGGGATTTGTTTAAACTGTTAAGCAAGAAATGTCCGCTCCCAGAGCCAGCTATTATTTCAGAAACATTAGTGACGGCTACCAGTGATGGTGGTCATTTTACATGTGACAAAACTGACCTGCCACTGTTTAAGGCAGTCTTTTCATCTGACTTCATCCAGGTGCTGTGGTGCATTTCATGTCTAGACCAGAGGAAAATTTGTGCTGCGTCAAAGGTGATTTAACTTATTCTGGGGATGAATATGGGGGCCAAAACACCACTCCTTTACATCAAGATGGCAATATTCAATGCCACTGCATAATGTTGGAGTGTTCCTGGTCAATTAAAGAAAACTAAACCCTCTTCAGGACTCAGCCAACCTGAAGCAAATTTTAGATGCTGTTGAAGTTTCCTCTACATCATACAAACCTGAATCATTCAGCTATTCTGATGTTCTCCTAAAGAAAGAAAAAGAAAAAAGATGATGAGCCCCACCTAAGAAGCCTGAGACTTTCCACTTTCTTTTACACAAACAAGAGGGCCAAATTGAGATTGCACCAGCAGCATTTGTTTTGGCATTTCAGAACTCTCAAGAATTATACTTGGTAACCCAAGCAGCATTTCAGCATGCATTTTGGATATAATGTTATATGCTATGTATAAAATCGCCATAGGAGTGTACAAATGCCAAGCTATGAAAATGAGTTCCCTGTTCCACAGGCAGAGGGATTAGATTATGTTTTATTTCTTTCTGGTTTGTAATATGTTTAGACAACTGAATGACTTTTCATTTGGTGCTTGTCCTGCAATTCATTTCCCATATCCTTCCTTTCAATCTTGTGAGGCTTTTTTCAAAATATAGTGCATTGTGCTTTGTCCTCCCTTGTCCTTCCATTTATGGGGAAGGAGGACATTCCTAATGCCTGTAATAATTAGTGTATCTGCCAAGGGCTTCTTACTGCAGAAAGCTCTTTGTTAGCCTGGTATCCAAGCTCTTCTTATGAACACAGAGAACAAAAGCTTTTCTTCCACTCCCAGCGTGACCAGATTTGAAGGCATTACAGAAGAACTTCAACAGGAACAGATCAGTGCAGGTCTGCCTAGATCAGTGTAATACAATTTTATGGCAGAGTGAGATCTGGACATTTGTGGAGACCATTTGCTTTGTTATCTGAGGTCTGAAGGGGCTGTGGTGATTGATGACACTTTTATGTGAACACTGATTTAGCAAGGGGCCCTGGAATGGTGAACGCAGCAACTGTTTACTTCATTTGTCAGAAAATGACAGAAGTCCCTGAAAAAAATTGTCTCCATAGGCTCTGAATCATTCCTTCATTATTAATGGACGTCATTTTTTCCAGCGGAACTAAGACACCATGCAAAGTCACTGCTGTGGTAGAGGAGACAATCTTTTAGTGAGCTACTTTCTTGCCAGGCAATGAAAACCAATACAGCTTGACTGGATGCTGTTCACTGAGCAGTCAAGTAGAGCAGTGGTGGCAGTCTGGGGTCCTATATACAATGACTGTAGCCTTCGCTAGTGAGCAGGAGCAACCTGAACCACATTCAGAATTTCACTCTAAATCACACTTCATCTCTAAAGAGGTCAAAATCCTGTAGAAATTACCGGAAATGACAAATATAGGGTTTCTGTTGCCAAGTGCTCTATGCTGGGAGACTGGGATATAATATTGTGGTAACTGCACATGGAAATTATCATTTATCTTTTCAGGAAAATGCAAGTAGTGATCCTGCTATTGCACAGTGATCTGAAGCAGGACCTCTCTATTTTGCTAGTCCAGCCATTGATTAGTCAACCACACACCCCACTTCACTTCTGACTAGCGGGAGAGGGCCTCTCAGCCTGGAGTCTGTCCTGTCTGGGTACAGTTTCAGGCAGAAGCTATTGATTAGGCACCAGACTTAGCCAGGAGCTCAGAAAACACAGGGTGAATGTTTCAGACATGATGTAAGAGGCTTTCAGAGCTGGCTCTGCTGTTAACATCCTCCCACTCATTCCCCCATCACTTTATATGCGCATTATGGGACACAGCAGAGAACTGAAGCTACTCACACAAACGATATTTTATCTTCTGTGCTGCATACAAATATTCATAAATTTTCTTATGGTCTTTGGATCTGGGAACTCTCATTTTAAACCGCCCTTGTGACATTTTTGATTTTACATTAACCTTGGAAGAAGGATCTGGCCAGGATCACCTTTGGTTCTCTCAGGTACAGGAAAAGAGTAACTGGCTGATGGGCTGACACTGAAAACTGCATTCTGCCCTGGAGCACACAAATGCCTGCTCTACCTGCTCCATCTCATAATATTTCTTTAAAAATAAATAAAGAAACCACATACTGTCAAACAAGCTAGTGACTTAAATTATGCAGATTGTAGATTAGTAAAGCATTTCGTCTGAGCTAAAGCACACATAGCACTCTACAGAATAGTGAAAAGAAACAAGTGAAGATGCTGTGAAAGATATAAGTGGCTCCAAGCCATGATATGTGCTCCTACTCTTCAGTTTCTCTCCCCCCCCAGGTATTTTTTAAATCAGTTATAGCTAAGTCAGGAGACTCTTTTCTAGATACACACAACTTGTTTTAAATGTCGTCTGCCTTCAGACCTCACAAGAAGCAGGTTTGCATTTTTTGTTAATATTCATTTCTACCAGTGTCAAAAAAGAACAGTAACAGAACAAAACAGCGCTGAGTAACTTTATAACACAAGTAAGGCTGTCTAGGCTATTTAACTACAAGAAAGCAATTAACTTTCAAACCTTCACATAGATTTCATTTGACAGATTTTTGGGCGAAGGCTTAAATCCTCAGAGTTAGTTATGAGAGAATTGCATGTTTTTTGCTCTCCCTCGATAACAGAACTCTGAGAAATGCCTAAATCTGAATTAAGATGATACAGCTCTGGTGATAGCCTATCTGACCTTGCACTTCTGAGCAGATTCAATGGAGTTACACTGACATGAAAGTTGAAGCTCAAGCCTCATACACTGAGTAGATCTGATGGGTAAAAGAGCAGGTAACTCCAACCACGCTGATTCCCACAGATATTCTGCTGTCTGCACCAGATGTTTCTTTATATTTTATATATTAATAGAATGCAGTATGTATAATGTAGCACATAGACTTGGGAATACCAAATATGCAAAGAACTCTGGTGGGAGAAGTTAATTAAGTACTGCTGCTACTAGGGTGCCAGTGTGTGCCTCCAGCAGCTTGTATTTGCACCGTTATGCTTACCTCCTTGAGCAAACAGATGCATTGCTTTAATTTAGTACTATGATTGGTAATCTCAGTCTACATCAAAACTTTCCTTAGTTGGGTTTTCAGCCAGTTTACCGGCACATGCCATAGCTCATCTGTGGACAGATCACAAAGCCAGTTACATGCACACATTCTGCACAAGTTGAAGATGAGCAGATTTAAAGCATTTGTTATGACCAGGAGGCACTGCAAGCAAAAATGACAAATACTCACAATGCTTCTGTGAGGAAAACACATGAATATAATATTTACTCATTTACGCATGTGGAAATAGAAGTACATTTTTGCATCATATGAAAAGAATAATAGTTAGAGTAACCAGCCTATGCTTGGTCTGCTGCATACCATGGTAATGAGTGCAATAGGAAGATACTATGCCATCCCTATCAAACAAGCTCACACTGGGCCAAATAGAGATAATGAGGGAAGGTAGAGGTCTCCTAACACCTTTCTTTCTTGTGCTTTTCCTTCCTCTCTCATCTCCTCAAATTAAACCCACAATTCTGGAAACTCACAAGTTTTTTTTCACAGGAAAAAATTTTGTTGTGTGCTCATGAAACATTATGGGAATATTTGTTGTTTATGTCTTCCAGAAAATTATAATGATGTGCCTCAAGATGGGAGAGGTAAGATCAGACTTCAAGGAGCAGCTTTTAAGAAAATCAACTAAATGACAAGAGCTGAAAAAAGCTGAAAAATGCAGGCAAGAGAAAGAATACAAGAAGAAGACTGAGCAAGTCCCCTGAAAAGAAACACCAGGCAGACAGCTTCTACAGGCAAACAATATAGAAATAGTTTCCAGAAGAAAGCAGTCTGTAAGCAATATTCTAATTCTAGACTGACAATATTGTCTCTGAAAGAAAGCATCATATTTGACGAAATGCTCAATAGGAAAAAAATTAAGTTGCTCTGGCAAATCCACATAAAGGTGGGAAAAGATCACTAGACAAACCTTTGGTAGACAACATTTCTTTGCCTCCCCATCCATCTATTGCCCTTTGAGCCTAATCTAAGTGTCAGAATACTGAATGTGAGTTTTTCCAAAGTTCTCTGGTGAAAATTTTGTCACAATAGGGTAGATGCTGGCAATCCTCATTACTGTTAACCATATTGCCATATGCATTACAAGGTAGAGTGAATCCCTTTCATCAAGTCAAACTGCATGATATCCACCGTTTCAACCTTAATACACATTTGAAGATAATTGGCAATGATTCTGCTAAGACACCAAACATCTGAACACATATTAGCTTCACCTTCATGCACCCTCATGAAGAGGGGAGCTTTATTAAGCAGCAACACAGACATCACCCCCATTCTCACTGAAGCTGAAAGAGAAGCAGAAAAAAAAATAAACATTTTTTTAAAAGCAATAATACCATTGTCCCTCTGCTTTACAAGGCAGTAGTCAAATTCCCTCTGCCAGCAACTGGCTTTAGAATTTACCCCTCACAAATCTAAGAATTCATTTGTAAGCCAGAAGGGCAATGATGCTACCACAGAAGTAAGGAGAGTACTTGGTCATTAAGTTGCAATAGCTTGACCTAACTTTCCACAGCACAGGTTTATTTTGAAATCACACAGTACCAATTATATGAGCAAATCCTGTGAAATTCAATTATTTAAGATACATACATGGAGAACCTGGCAATGACAACCAAACAGAAGAGTTAATCTAGAAATCATAACACAAAGCCATGATACTGCCAAATTAATCCTTCATGCCTAATATTTTTTTCCAGCAAATCTGAATAAATTTAAAATAACCACATATTTTACCTTATAACCAACATAAGGATCACCTTGTCAATAAATAATCAAGTTTTCCTTTGTACCTTTTTGATTAGGATAAATATTAGTCTTCTGTTGAACTCAAGAGGGATAGACTACTGAGTGATTTAAGCTGACTTAAAGCTACTGGACTGCATGATGGTACGCGACTGAAGCAACACAGGAATAAATAGTGATGGTGGCCCCAACAAGGCTGGAGACCACAGAAGTGCCCAGTCTTCGAAGAAGGCTGAATCTGAGTAGGATGCCAATACGTGCATGTCCTCTTCTTTGCAAATCAGCTCATAAAAAATGCCAAGTATCACCGAGTAAGGGCAGGCAACAGCAAATAAGAAAGCATTCTAATGCCACAAGTGTGAGTACCACGCTGCAGGCATTAGAATCCATTCTGTCCAAGGCAAGCTTTAGGCCTGGCCCATTCTCACTTTTCACAGAAGCTCTTCCTACCCACCTCTGCATACAACTCATCTTGTACAGCCATAACAGAGCTGCTACAGCACAACTGGGGTGTTTCACATTGCGAGAAACATAGCCCTTCAAATCAAACAGAGTCAGTATTTTTTAAAACTCGATTCACACTAAGCCTAAGAGATTCTAGTTTTCTAAAAAATATATTTCACCAGAGCATTGCAGAAATATTCAGAGCACTTCAGCTGGGAACAAAAAGGATGCCTAGAAAAGACACGCTGTAAGTAGCTTGCAGATACTGGCAGGCAGTCCAAACTGCTCTCTCCTTGATGATGAGAGCCTCTACATGGAAAGGGTAGGTGGTCCTGGCAGTGAGAGAACTGAACCTATGAGCTGTAACACCATACTATTAGTGCCAGCTTGCAAGAAACACAAAGGAGACCAAGCAGCTGGAAGCAATGCCATTCACGCCTCTAACAACATCATGTCTTCTCCACACTTCTCATTAGCTCCAAGATCCATAGCCCCTTGCAAACACTCAGCAAAATACATACTACAGTAATCAGTCTTACCTTGGGAGCTTTGCAGTAACTGTTTGCTTCTTTTACCTTCTACCAGCACCTACTTTCATTGCAAGTGATGACTGCCACAGAAAGCTTTGTAAAAAGCTTATGTTCATGAAAGAATTTGTATTAGATACTGGTTTGTGTGACTTACTTACTGTATTTTGTAAGGGTTTTTTTCCCTTTGGGAATTGTGCGTTATTAATGAGCAGTTTTATGCTTTACTTCTAGTATATGTATACCTTGTAATTGATGTGCTTTTTGTTTGTTTGTTTGTTTTCTTTTATTCTCTATACAGAGTCAGTTAATATAAGGTAGATAATCTCTGGCTGAAATTCTGATTTTGCCTACCAATTAATTTAGGCATAAATCCATGTCATAGCTGATAAACCACTGTTCATCAATTGTGTTGTTATAATAATCTGATAGCCTCTCTAGTTTAGCAGAGTATAAGATCCTGAATAATACTAACGCTCATTGGGCCTTAAAGTAAAGGGAAATAATGTTTCCCTACTACCATCACTGTTGGCCCTTCTTCTGTAGTGCTTGGGACATTGTAAGACAGCACTAGCTAGACAGACACCTGAACATCTCAACTATCTATGTAGTCATGCTCTGATGATAGACTTCTGCATTTACCTGGTAGAAATCATGATGACCCAGATAAACGGCAATGAATTCTTCAATCATTTCTGCAGAAAGAGACTCATTCAAACACACTGTTCCTCTGAAAGGAAAAAAAAAAAAAAAGACTAAAATAGATATATAGATATATTTTCCTCTATGTCTATCCTCATAGGGTTGGAAAAATAAGGGAGCTAAAATTACCACTTACAGAAGTGTGTAGCTCCATTATACACCTTATTTAACAATGGCAGCTGTCTGGCTCAGTGTCGGTTAAAGAATTTTATGGTCCAGAAGACTCCTTCCTGCTCCAACTCATTTTCTCTCTTCAATTTTTCTGCGAACTGAGTGTCCAACTTCCTAATAATGGCTGTGTATAACATAGGACATAAAAAGTTGAGTTATAAAGCTTGGGCAGGACTTGGTGTTGTAATTAACTATCTTTTGTGCCTGGTTATCAATCTTATAAAAACACAGAGTGAAAACAATCTGGTCTCTTAATGTATCCTTCAGCATATTGTAGCAGATATTTTAGATAACTGTTTTTAATAGTTTTATTTTGGTTATAACTTCTATATGAGGACTTTCCACTTGAAGAATAGATGAAGTAACATGTCAAAGTCATTTTTGAAATCAGTTCTATTTTGTCACCAGTGATGGTGCATGAGGAGTAGAGCAACAAAACCAAAATCTCACTCACTCGCCAGGAAGAAACATCTTTTCTCAGCCTTGAAAATTCTCTTGTGTAAGACAGGCATTTCTTCAAGTCCTCCTTTTAGACATATAGTAAATCACTAAGAAGATAGTAGTCAATTGTCAATTTTAATAGTCAGCAGTCGAATTTTAGGCTAATTAAGCTAACTAGAAATTCTAGGGTTGCAGTGATTTCTCACTCTTTATTAATATGTTGACAATAATACTGTTTACATAACACTTGATGTTTGAAATCAATATGTATCAGTGTCCAGTGATTTGCTAACCTAGATTTTGATCTAATCCTGTCCTATTTTTTCGCAGCATTCTCTAACTTCATATTATGAATCATGTTGTCTTCTAAAGTGATTGCCAAGTAAACCAAAAATGTGTTTTACACTGCTATTGCACTGCTCTTGTCTTTATATACAGTAGTTTTTATAAAGATGTCCTTCGGTTTTAATAAATGAGTGTAACGTAAACTAACCTCTGTAATAAAACTTGCTTTAGTGTTTCAAAAACTCTTTGGAATACCTGTAGAGATTTGAGTTTCTACTTTTTTTCAGTAGCCTCAAACATCATGGCTTCTTCTCCATCTGCAGGGAAATCCCCATATACTAATACTCCACCATTTATATAATTTATTTATACTAGGGAAAATGAGGAGAGTGTATTTAACGCAAAGGATGATGCTTGGCTTTGAAGGAGAAAAACAAAAAAGCCACCCCCCCCTAAAAAAAAAAAACACAAAAAAAAAGAAAAAATGACTAAGGTCATTGCATAAATAAATACCTGGTTCATTTGTTCTTCATCACATTCTAGCAGCTGCTAATACCAGATACTTAAGAGAGGAGTGTGGGATACTGAACAGAGACTGCTAAGAAATAAACAGTCTTTCCACTACTAAAGGCTAGCTAAGAAGGCCAAACATGTAACTGAGCCGAAAGAAAGCAACATTCTGACTTCTACACACAAAGGACTCTGTCCCACAAAATGTTATGCTCAATTCACTTGCAAAACTGCGGCAGCGACAAATGCAGTTTAACTTGCTCTATGCAAAAAAGCAGGGCCAACAATTCACAAAGGCAAGAGAGTTTTGGTTTGTTCTGTTTTTCCCTAACAGGCCGAAGGATCTGGACAGTTTTTCCAGACAGGTTTAGACTTCCTAAACACACTCAGGCTTAGGAGGCATCTTTGTCGATGTTCCAAAATATTAAGCATTCTGAGCTGAAATTTCGTCTTTCAGACTGGTAAAAGGGAACATTTTTGACAGCTGGATTAAACAGACATGCACAAAAATGACACACAAAAAAGGTTGCTGTTTCCTATTGGTAGTTTTCTTATGTTTACAGTTCCTCCTCCATTCACTCCTCACAAAAATTTCAGTAATACATGTGGGGAGACTAGGACCTAACACAGCAAGTGGGCAGAAGGGAGAGTCCTTGAAGGGCTTCTTGCCTCCACTACAGGTTGCTTCCCTAGATGGAAACATTTCTTGCTCTGCTCTGCCCTGCTTCCTCCAAGTGTAAGTTTTCCTCAGCTGTTTGTCCTGTCCAGCACTTGCCCTACTTAGTTCATCCCAAATCCTTGGTGGTGTCATAGTTTAACTCCAGCCACAGCTAACTACCACGCAGCTGCTCCCTCACTCTGCCTTACCTCCCTTTAGTAGAATGGGGAGGAAAACTGGGGGGGGAAAAAAAAGTAAAACTTGTGGGTTGAGATAAGAACAATTTTATAACTTAAATAAGGTAAAGCATAATAATAATAGGGAAAAGAGAGATGAGAGAAAAAGAAACACAAGTGATGCACAACATAATTGCTCAAGAACTGCTGACCTATACCCAGCCTGACCTGAGCAGCAATCGGTTCCTTCCAGGTAACTCTCCCCAGTTTATATATTGGGCATGACGTGCTGTGCCCCTCCTCACTGGCAGAGCATGAAGAGACTGAAAAGTCCTTGATCGGGGTAAGTGCTACTTAGCAATAACTAAAACCATCAGTGTGTTATGAGTACTGTTCTAAGACTAAAGCCAAAACACAGCACTGCACCAGCTACTGAGGAAAACAAAACAAAACAAAAACCAACTTTATCCCAGATGAAACTAGGACAGATGTCAAAGTGAAACGCTGGTATTTACAAACACAGGATGTGTTTTTTCACATTAGCAATTATGCTTTCAATATCAGATTACTAATCCCAGGCTGTACTGCAGAAATACACCTAATCAGTCAAAAATACAGACATTTCAAAGGCAGATTAAAAAAAAAAAAAATAAG